CAATCGAATCATTCGTAATTCATATCATTAGCATAATATACTATGAATTTTCTACGTTATATATTGAATCGAAATTGCGCGAAAGAGGAAAAAAAGAACAAGCCTATGAATAGACATTTCCATCCTTTACTAAAAGAAAAAGAAATTAAAAATATATCTCAATTTTTTTTCTATTTCTTCAGGCAAGTCTACATATATGACCAATATGATTAATTGATTCCATCTTTATATATTTATCATTATGTGCTATTAATTAAAGCCGTAGACAATATTCAGAAATCAAAGTTGCGCGCAGGAATGGCCATTCGCAGAAACGAATGCGCACTGGTTCGGCCGCCATGTTGGCGCGTGACTGCGACGTCACTGCGACGTCACTGCTACGTCAAACGCGTCATACGGCCGCCATGTTGGCGCGTGAATCGGAGTCATACGCAGTTACACGGATCGTCGTACGTCCGCATTTTTCGCGTCTTTTAACCGTTTTTAAACGAATATCGCGAGTGAACGAGAGTCGAGAGTGTCGAAGGATGATCGCGCGACTTTTATAGTGTGTCGATGGAAACGCGCGACAGCGATTTTTGACGATATTCAGTGATGGCGTCATTGCGAAAATGGAGCGAAGTTGCGTCGCGTTATTCGCGCCCTTGATGATGATTATCGGATGCGATCGAATATCGGGAGTGCCGAATAAAGTGTCGCGCGTTCGCGTGGATGATATCGTATGGATTTGTGTGCATCAAGATCGGAATAGGATGTCGAGACGTGCGAACTGTCCCAAGGAGGAGCGGCCTGTGGAACAGCCGGTGAGTAGATTTGATTTATCATATTTGCGTGATAATTTGTGCTCATTCGACGCTTATACAGCATCGCGATGTCCCGAATTACATTCGGACAAATCGGCGCCGCATCATAATTCGATTCGGTGCAATTCAAATAAAGTCGATCGCGTGAAGATGGTTAGCTAGAAGCGATTTCAAATTTATTTTATATACGCGCAGTGCTGCACAGTCTATCTCGTAGGGCTGCCAACTGTTAAACGATAAATTTTTTCGATCTAACCTAACCTAACCTAACCTCTCAGTGCTTTCGATGTCGAATGTAAACATAAGCGTATGCTCCCTGGATTTTATCATACTTTCAAAAATAATATTTAATTATTTCAATAGTGTATTACATTTTATTACGTAGTATATTAATCGTATTAAATGTGCGACGTACAGTTTTACACATTTTAATGAGAAGCATATAATATAATTGGTTAGGTTAGATTAAAATAAGCTGCTGTGATTCATTTAACGTAATAGGATTAATTTGACGAATGTGCAGCTGTTGAAGTTACATGATATTTGTGGACACATTTTTAAAGTAATCATGAGTGTCTTATCTCATCTTGATTATGAAATTAAAATATAAAATATTTATGTATTCCACATTAAGGTTATTCATTACAAGTACTATATTACTTTTCTTATCATCATATTCTCAATCATATTTCATCGATGAAGCTTTTCATATATCGCAGACAATATGATACTGTGTGTGGAATTTTACACAAGTAATACGTGGCACAAAAATAATTTGTTCTCAAGTATTGTGCGCATTTCTCAAAAATAAATCAAATTAAATTATTTTAAGAAGGATCCAAAAATCACTGCATTGTCAGGATTGTATCTTATTATAACTGCGATATTATCACCTTTTAATATGTGTGCGCAGTATTACATACATAAAATATATAAATTTATTTGAAACGTATAGAAATCTTTTTCTTATTTATAATATTTATGATATTATAAAAGAAAATTGCAACTCTAATGAAACAGAGCAATGGAATAATTGGTTGATACTTATACTGGTCTAAAATATTTACCCTTTTTTCACCATTAGACTTTGGTACTTTTTTTTATTATACAGATGTTATCTGTAAATATAGTACTTGTAATGTTGCTTCTGTATCACTGTAAGCACACAAAAATGATAGCATTTGCAAGTAATTATGTTATACTTATATATCGTAAGAAAGAGAAAATAAAATTAAAGTTGAATACTGAATGTGCTCTAAAGTAAATCTCATCTAAATAAATAAATGCATAAATGTGCGCCCCACATTCCTCATGAAAAAAATACATAATATTAATCTTTATGTATTATTATTTTTAGATTTTTATTCTTTTAAATTCTCTAGATACACTTTTCATTTCTCCTCTCTTTCTTTCCAACTACTAAACATAGATTTATCATTTTTAATATAGAGCTGTCATTTTTAGTGTACATTATTGCAGTAAGTGGAATAAAGAGCAAATCTTTTGGCACATTTAAAATGTACAGGAAAGTTTTGTCTGATGCGTTTTTTCCAATAGAATTATCTGAAAAAAATGCATACGTCTTTTTTAATCTTAGTCTTTCTAAATAAAAATTAGAATAATAAATTTGCAAAATAATTTGCTTTAATATATTTTTATTGCAAACATATGAAGCAAAGTGCTCAAGGTGCATCACTATGAAAACATCGATAGAATAAAAAATAGATCGCATACAAAAAAATTAAAATATTTACATTACATATTTGATATTTCTGCAAATATTTCCATTATTTTGAGATTGATTTGTTTCATGATATATTGCAATAATTAAAGTATGATTTCTGATATAATCTGCCATGAGACTGCAGAGAAAGCCAGCTTTAATTCTTTATTTTGTTCAATATTTTTAATAATATAATAATTAAATTAAAGTTCTATGAAAATATGCTTGAAATACTAAATAAAAAAGATTGTTTCTTATGCACAACCTTATACAGTTTAAGTAAACAAAAAATTATTGTTAATAATATACGTATATAAATTGATAATTAAATAAAACAATTAATTAATTAATCGACACAATCCACGTTTTTTTTTAGCTTTGTGTCTAACATATATATATATATATATATATATATATATATATATATATGTATATATATTTTTATAAATAAAAAATGTTTCTTTCTAATATAAATTAAATAAAAAGTGTATGCCTTTAAATACTTTATATACATACTGTTGCAATAAACCAATAAAGAATGCTTTTACATTCCTCCTTGTACTTTGGCATACATATCCTTTATGCCAATTATCTCGCAACACGCTTTTATCGCATGATGACAAGCCCATTATCCTTCATGAATTTTCTTTACAAATATTTTTATATTCTCAAACTGTGTAAAGAAATCATGTAACACTGAAAAATACAAAGTGATATTAAAAGAGGAGAAATAAATTTTATATTATATAGTATTGACAATTATTTTCTTACCAGTGTATTCCTTATATGTAGGAATATACATTAATCTTTGACCAGCCCTATTTTTAATCGTTTAGGGATGCTTTGGCTTTTAATAATGCAAATCCAGCCAATTCATTTCCATTCCCAGTTACTATAAATGAATTGATTCTAGTCTTACGTGCTAAATTACGGGTCATACAAGTTATCATTTTGTTTTCCAAAATCCAGGTTTCAAAACTTTCAAATGTATCTACAGAAAACAAAGATATTAATTATATAAGATTCTAATATTTAGAACTGAAACATAAAAAAAAAATTGAAAATAGACATCATATCACATGATTTTTGTATGTGTGTGATTTAACCATTATAATCCAATAATAGCATAAATATTAACCTTTTCCAATAAGATCCGATTCAATGCTTCTGCCATCCATTGTAACACTCCTCCAACCACATTCCAATGGCGATAATTTTATTTGCATTGGTCTGGTCTGACTTTGTGGTAATTCCATAAGTTTTTGCTTTCTTTCAAGATTTACAAGCAGTTTCAGCTGTTGAATTAATTCTTTTCCTCTAATTACAGAAGTGTTCAGACTAGGAAATTGTATTGGAATTTTTCCCATGCAAATAATTTGCTCCTTATTTAGGTCTCTCTTTTCACTACTCTTCTTGCTGTACTTCTGCGTCTTCCTGCATTACTGATACTTGTCACATCCTTTCATAATTCATCTTCAGGTCCTATAGAACAAAAGCACAGTGAAATACAAACTATTTTCTACTGTAAATATAAATTATTATCAAAATGCTATATCCAGAAAAGTTCTACTTACTGTTCGCAAAGAACATAGAGTTTCTCACATTATTTAATAAAGACTATTTTTAATAAATGTGAATGACTGACAAGCAATAAATTAAACATTATTAAACAATAATATATACCTGAAAAAAATTTCATAATTTTATTAGAATTAAATTAATAAATTAATTTTAAATAAATATATGTTAATTACATATAATGATTTAGAGACAATGATATATTTCATTTGCGTTACCATTGTTTACAGATTGAACATTTTTATCAAATTATTTACAACTCTACAAATATGTAGTATATGACAAGCCATTTTTAAAATCTATAAAACAAACAAAGTTTTTCATAGTTTTCTTCATAGTCTTCTCTTTTTTGTCATAGGCCGGTATTCATAGTCCGGTCTTACATTTAAGATCATCTTAAGTTCTCATTCTACCAATCAATGATTGCATTGTAGCTATTTGATTGGTTGAATGAGTTCTTAAGATGATCTTAAATGTAAGGGTGCGTTTTCACTTGACGCTAAAAAGTAGCGTCAACCATTGGTTGAACAAAGAAGTAAGTAGTTGCTTCTTTGTTCAACCAATGGTTGACGCTACTTTTTAGCGTCAAGTGAAAACGCACCCTGAGACCGGACTATGAAAACCTGCCATAGTCTGCTTTTAGGCGATCTTAAAGTCACTAGATTAACAAAGTATCCGGCTTTAAGTTATCTCTGAAAGAACGGTGCGTCCTCTATAAACATAAAAATATGAATTTAAGGTGCAATTTCATTGACGCTAAAAAGTAGCGTCAACCATTGGTTGAACAAAGAAGTAAGTAGATGCTTCTTTGTTCAACCAATTGTTGACGCTACTTTTTAGCGCCAATGAAATTGCACCTTTAAGGTGGAATTTCATTGACGCTACTTTTTAGCGTCAATGAAATTCCACCTTTAATTTAAGACCAAAGAGAAGATTAGATTTGTTTGTGCGTGTTTTAAATTTATTTTCAAGCAAGAGAACAAATATTTTTTAAGGTATTATTATAATGTTTGATATTTATTATTTGCACTTTTTATATATTTTATTCGAAAAGGAAAAATTTATATGAATATATATACATCGTAAAATCATTATTTAATACTTATAATTTGTTTACTTGTTCAGGAAATTTGTGTGGTATATACACATATATGTATGTGTGTAGTTAAATTGTTAATATTGAATGTTTATATACACATGTCAAAAATAATGTAAAACATTGTTTCAATTATTTGAAATTTTATAAGATGTGACATATAAATTATAATAATAAGGAAAACAAATTTTAATAATCTTGTTATATATTACTCTTTTTTTTTTTTATAGAAAGCACTGTGCTTTTACACATCTCTGAAGAAATTTCAAACAGTGAAATATTATTATATATTTGCAACATGAGACGTTCACCCAGGGAACGTAAAGATTGTTTGAAACTTGCATTACAGCGAACATTAGTTTTACGTAAATATTTATTTCACATCTATTATCAAATTATTATTTCACATCTTTCATGTTTTATATTTAACACAAAGCCAATTAATAAATAATTTACAGAGAATGTAATCAATAAATCTACCGTAAATAAGCTAAATGAAGTTATAAATGAAGCTGACATTGTTGCTAATGAGACAAATATACAAGAGAAAGGTATATAAATTATAAAATATAAAAATTTTTATGTGTCTGTATATAGTATTATATATTCTGTGTGTATAATGCATATTATATATATGATATACATTATATCTTATCTACTTTTTACATTTTGGGAAGAAATAATATTATATTACATTTCATAAAGAATTTTATAATTTTGTGAAAATAACATATATTTTACTCATATTTTTAGCTGTTAATCAGCAGGAAGTACTTATGGATTCACAAATGATGATATCATCTTCCAAAGTCTTGAAAACTTGTACCATCTCTCTGACAAAAAAAATGAACGACTATGATTGCATTGACTTTGCACAAAAATTGGTATATTTGCTGAAAAGTGCAATTATATATTTATAATTATTCGCAATGTTTTATTAAAATTAACCAAGTGATATCTATTTACAGAGTGTTAATTATTTTGCATTTCATTAAGTATTTAATGATATTTCTTACACATGTACACACATAATTTAGAAGAGTTATCAACTTATCTTTTAATAAGAAATATCGCCATTTACTTAGTGGTTGTGAATTGATCAACACTTGTACTTGTGTACATGTAATTACATAATCTCTCAACAATATATAATAATTGTATATATTTTATTATTTTATATCCAGTATTGCATTATTTTATTTAGGTGAAATATGTACAAGGAATGTCAGACAATTCAGAATTACCACCAGATTGGTCGCTATTAGAGCCACAAGTAACAACATTGTTTAAAAGAGTGCCTAATTGCAATACACTCTTAGGTTTGTTTATAATTATTTGTATTAGGAATAGCAAGATTGTAATTATTTAAATAGCAAATATTCTTGACGATTAAAAAAAAATTAATAGAGGAGTAAGGAATAAAAAAGGCAATAATAATGTTATTTTTTCTGTTGATCCAACAATGTATTTGTAATGTGCAATTGCAAATTTTACAAATGATATACATTTTTTCTCATTGATTCTCATTATTTTACATGTAGAAGTGTGAAATTAGAATGAAAAAAATTTAATAGTTATAAATATACTTTTAAATTTATTTTACCATGTATAAATTATTTTATGATTTTATTGTGAATTTTTATATGTAGAATAATGAAAAAAATTTATTTCTAAAAAATTCTATTTAAAGAAAAATACAAATGATGTCAATTAAATTTTGCAGGTGCATTATTTGAAAGAAAGAAAGAAAGATAAAAAAGAAGTTGGATTTTATTTTGTTCTTTTTCTCTTTTTTTATCAAGAAAGATATTTTTTTTTCTTTACTAGACTAATTCTGTGTGTGTGCACAAATATAAATATTTATTTATATCTTTTTATTTAAAAAATATGTTATTGCATTTTTTTAAATCTATTTCACTCAAGAATCCAGTCAAATCTATTTTCATTTTTATTTCAGGTACATTAGAGCCTTTAGAGAAGAAAGTTTTAGTTAGGAAAAAGCCTGAACAAAGAGTAGCACAGCAAGCTGCAATGATAGTACCTGAGAAAGTGGTGCAAGCTGCAAATATCAAGGATGAAGACAGTGTGGAACGAACTGTGAGGAAGATTAGAAAATTAATTGTAACTTATTATAGAGAAACACAAAAACCGCTTGATTTTTTCAAATTAATTCTACATCCACGAGATTTTGGAAGGACTGTCAGAAATATGTTGTACATATCATTTCTCGTGAAAGATGGAATTGTGACACTGAGAAAAGGTATTTTCTTCTTTGTATTATTAAGGAATTTATTAGAATAAGTCAAAATAAGATTTATTTTTTTCTTTTTATTTCTAAAATCTGTTAATGATCTTCTTACAGATACTAATGGAAACCTTGTTGTACAACCATGTCATAAAGAAAAAAATTTGCAAAGAAACGATACTAGAACAGGCATTCAAAATGTAATTTCCTTAAACATGAAGCAATGGATGGTAAGTTCTAAATAAATCTTTGATTTAACAGATTTCAAATCATTTAATTCAAATCAATTAATAGAATTTCGATTTTAATAAATAAAATTCTTTGCTAATTTCATATTAAAAACAATTTTATAAACATTTATATATTCCTTTGGTTAAACTTGCTTATTAAAATACCTTAATATAAGTTGAATATAAATTTTGTTATTGCAGTTATTGAATTATACCCGAAATTATATGAATGTTTTTTTTGGAAAAATATATTGAAATGAATCAGATTTTTTCTATATCACATTTAGCATTATCAATCGGCAAAATATACCGATAATTATATTTTTGATTTGTGGAAATTAATTTCTATCTATAAATCTTGATTAGTTATTGTATCATTGATTGGAAATGTGTATGAGATGCAGATTGAATTAATACGTTTATTTGTTAATATAGAGTAATGAGAAAAAGATTTTTCGATATATCTTATTAATCCCGTATTATCGAACGCATATTAATCTGTATGAGCATGCGAAAAAATAACGTTAATCTCAATGTATTTTACGAAAAGAAAAATTTCTCACATTGTTCATTACAATTCAATATGATTGCAATGAGAAAATAGAATTAAATTGAAGATTACTGGATTTTACTGGAACATAATTATAATGTAATCATGATAAAATTAGAAGTTACTATTATAAGCAACTAGAATTAATACAATTACTTTTTTTGTCAGATATTAACAAACATGCACAAATTGAAGAAACCAATGATTGATTTTGATGAAGATAAGTGATGCTATTTATAGATTAACGCATTTTTTGTCAGCCTAAGAGCCTCGAGACGCATATATAATTTATCTTGTTATTTTATATTTACAGAATATTGCATTAAGTGTATTGCCAGTTATGCTATATTAAAGAAAAGAATAATTTTTTGGTAGTATTACAATAGTCTAATACAATAATTTATTATTAACATACAATATATATTATAGTTATAATGATAATTAATTAATTATTTATTACGTTATTTCGTCATAGATAAGTTACAATAATGAGCGTTAATGTTACTACATAATTAAAACTTGTATTAATACTTATGTAATAATATTTTCCCACTTGTCTTTTTTTCATATTTTATTAAGTTTTATTTAAGTAATTGTGTAATATTGCCAAAGATTAAAAAATGAGAATGATTAAATTTTATCCTAAGACTAGTTTCCATGAACTAATGGTGATCGAATAAACATTGTTTTTAGGATGAATGCTAATTAATTTATTATTTGCCCGAAGATCTTTTAATCGTATAAAATGTTATTTTCAGAATTCCTCAATTAAATTATAGATTAATAGAGATTAATATTAGATTAATTATAGATTAATAGAGAAGGAAACAAAGGAGTAACATAAGTCTGTTTGTTGGATTTGAAATGATTTTTATGTTTCTACTTGCAATTTCTATTTCTCAAATTTAATAAAATGTCTTTCTAAAATTGAAATAAGTGCAATAAACTTATGTACATATATAGCGAAAAATCTAATTATATATATGTAAGAAGTATCAAGGAAATATACAATTTGATCGGATTCGATAATATAAAAAAAACTTTCAATATTAAATATATCTTCAGCAGATATTTATAAATAAAGATTTAAATAAGAGCTAAATGAAGTTATAATATATGCTTAATATGTCATAAATATGGAAATTAAAATTTCTCTCAATAGTAATATAATTAATTTTTATTTATATTCATGTTAATAAAACGTGTCATATCTGAATTATATATATATATATATATATATATATATATATATATATATATATATATATATATATATATATATATCTTATTCTGATATAACACGTTTCCTACTTTCTCTTAAGACCCATTCACATTTTGGCAATAAGCAGAGAGCCAATCAGAACTCGCGTTGGTAATAAACAGGGTGTATCGTTAAATGGACAAAAAGTAAAAATTGTGTTTACCAGCGCGACTTGTGATTGGCTTTTGCTTTTCTGCCAAGGTGTGAATGCGCCCTTTTGTAAATAACGACATAACCTTAAAATCTACCTGGTATTTATGTTTATACACATGTTCTCTCTTTCTCGTAGTAAATACAATAACAAAATAGAAGCTCGATTTGCCATTTAATAATCGAATTCACGCAATTTCTTAAGAAATGCCGCCAAAACGAGGAAAGGTACAAAAGGAAGAGGTTCAAGTTTCTCTTGGACCGCAACTCCGCGAAGGAGAGGTAGTTTTTGGAGTAGCTCACATTTTCGCGAGTTTCAATGATACGTTTGTCCACGTTACCGATTTATCAGGCAGGTCAGTACCGTACAATAACCGATTATGTATTTAGTAGACAGCTTTCTCTTTCGCGATTTATAAGTGAAATATTGTGTTTTTGATTCAGGGAAACAATCGCCAGAGTTACCGGTGGCATGAAGGTGAAGGCGGATCGTGACGAAGCCTCGCCGTATGCAGCTATGCTCGCGGCTCAGGTTTGTTGTACTTCATTTTGGTATTTAAATTAATTCGAGAAATAGCGTGTATAAAAATATTTCTCATCTTGCGTTATCCACATCCAGGCAGCACCTAGATGAACTCTGTAATCGAAGGAGCGTTCATGTTTGTGGAAAAATAAATTCTTTTTGATAATAGAGAACATGTGCACTTATGTATCATGCACTCTTTAAGAAAAAAAAAAAGAAAACATTTTCAAACATGGAATATTACATATAAGGAGATCTAAATACACAAAGTGTGATATTAAAAATTTTTATCGTAAAATATATTACTTTGTTTCTTTTGTAGGATGTTGCGGAAAAATGTAAATCGCTAGGCATCACAGCGCTGCACATCAAACTGAGAGCTACTGGAGGTAATAAGACAAAGACTCCTGGTCCTGGTGCACAATCTGCTCTGCGCGCTTTGGCTCGCTCGAGTATGAAAATTGGTCGTATCGAGGATGTTACTCCTATTCCATCAGATTCGACTCGTAGAAAGGGAGGTCGTCGTGGACGTAGGTTATAAATTATGATTATGGTTTTCCACGCTTTATCTTTCAATAAATAATTTAAAGAAAACAAATATTACATTCTTATGAGACATATTTCTATATAGTCTTTGTTGAATTCCTATATATGTATACTTGAAAAAATTATTAAATTACACATTTATTATTACATTACATGATAAAAACAGATGCAATTATACAGATAAGTATAAGAGAAACATTCTCTTAGAATAAAAATATTATTTATATTATTTGTTATTTATTATTACATTCAATTTTTTCAAATTCTTTTTTTGTTTCATTTTTAATATTTGTAATATATGTAATATTTTTTCATTTAAAAATGAGCGCTCTCTATGATGTTAAAATGGCCACATTCAACGGACTCAGGCTACGGTCGGGGAGAGGCTCCGAATGCATCGAAGCGTTTGATTGACCAATCAGGGTTAAAGAAATCTTTACTTCTTTTGTCCCGATTGGCCCAATCAATCGCTTCAAAGCATCCATAGTGTCTTCCCGATCGCAGCCTTAATCGTTAAGTAGCACTCGAACGTGATTGGTTTCTATTTTCAGATCCGGCCAATCAGCGAATTACGTTGCCCAACTGTCGAGTGAACCAATGAATGCGGCCAATGAGTATCGGGCATACTATGAAAATGTATCTTTATGTTACGTTACTGCGCATGCGTCAGAGACCTCCACGATTCTTCTTCCCGAGATTGCTGGGACATGCTCGGCCATTTTTGTCGTGTTCTTCTCAATGGTGAGTTGTAGTTCTTCTTGCAACAAGAGGTAGAGTCTATAACGTCTATTCGGAAATAGAATTCGTCCGATTATACTTGTAACTGTTCAAATATTTTAATCGCTGGATAATTAATCTAAAATTTGTAATATATATATATATATATTTCCTTGAAATTGAAGATGCATTCTTTTATCATGCTTTGCACGTGTTCTTTATCGAGCCACGTGAACGCAGCGGATATGCGTGCTATTTTCAATTTGCAGCGTTACGATATTTGAAACTTATTCGTTTTTTTTATTTCTATAAAATTTTGAATAAATTTGCCTCTAGATAACATCTCAGCATGGTTAACGGAAGAATTCCGTCGGTCTTCTCCAAGACCTATGTCACTCCCAGGAGGCCATACGAGAAAGCTCGTCTCGACCAAGAATTACGCATTATCGGAGAATACGGTCTTCGTAACAAACGCGAAGTATGGAGGGTAAAATACACTCTGGCTAAAATCCGGAAAGCTGCTCGTGAGTTGCTTACGCTAGAGGAAAAAGATCCAAAACGTCTTTTCGAAGGTTAGTCATATATCGATCATCATACATTTATAGTCTAGGATCTTTTTAATTGTTACTTATTAATCAGTTGTAAGTTTATTTAACACAAAATGTAGAGTACATGATGATTATGCTTTTGACACCTCTTGTCTGAATATCTCTGATAGATTAAAGCGTGGACTGAAAAATTTCTTTAGAAATAATGAAGATTTGTCCGAGAGAATCTCTGTGAGTTTCTCCAATGTGAGAATATGTATTTTTACAGGAAACGCTCTGCTTCGTCGTTTGGTAAGAATTGGTGTATTGAATGAAGCTCACATGAAGCTTGATTATGTATTGGGCTTGAAGATTGAAGATTTTCTGGAGCGACGTTTGCAGACTCAAGTATTCAAGCTAGGTCTGGCCAAATCTATTCATCATGCTCGTGTGCTTATTCGCCAGCGGCATATTCGGTAAGTTATTGGTAATAATAATGTGCAATATGTATATCTTTACATTGTTAGAAGAAAATAATACTTTTATATAACACTTTTATATTATTGAGAAAGGGATATTTTAATTCTTAAGGAAAGGAGAGATTTAAGACACGATAGAAATTTTATACAAATTGTGATTGTGTAAGTTTTTTTTATTTTGATTATAAGTGATGTAGACTTTTTATAATTTAGACACTATAGAGATTCGCCTTAAAAAATGGGCAAGAAATGGCTGAATTCTTAATTGGCGCATTTCTAATCTTTGAGGCAAAATCAAAAGCCTGGCTTAATCACCGATGAAGAGTCGATACCTTTTTCGGTTTCAATCTAGGCGACAATTATATCTTAATGTTGTTAAAATAAATAAGTAATTTTAAATGAGTTATCAATAAAAGAGGGAAATGAAATACAAATGTCATAAAAGATATTTATTTTATTCAAACTTGAAACTTGAAGTTTTTATAGTCTAAAAGCTATGCTGTATAGTTTTTTAATATACATCTATGGAAATATAAAATTATTTGAATATTTTATAATTCGGAATATCAACAACTCGTTCATCTCGATAAAATTGGTAAAAATTTCGGTATTCGAAGGTTCTACATTCTGCATATATGTCGTGAGGCAAGATGGTGAACGAATTCTGCTGCTTAACTGTTTATCGAAGTGTTTATCGATGGCATCTGGTCGATCGGTTATGGTTGACTATCTACAAGCCCAGAATTCTCAAATTGTTAATATAACAAAATTTGATTCACGCAGGCCACTTAAGTGCCGTTTTACGGCATTTAACGTCTGTTGACTTCCTATCGAGATCCTCCTTCATCCTTGTCGAGAAAAAGAGAAAAAGTTTCGGTAGCGTCTTTATCTTTATAATAGAAGAATTAGCAATCTGTACCTTTAAATACGAACATGGGAGAATTGAGTAATTAATAAAGAGTTTTTTGTTGTAGAGTGCGTAAACAGGTGGTGAATATCCCATCGTTTATCGTGCGACTAGACTCGCAGAAGCACATCGACTTCTCACTCAAATCGCCATTCGGCGGCGGCAGGCCTGGCCGCGTCAAGAGGAAGAATCTAAGAAAGGGAAGCGGTGGCGCCGCACCTGAAGAGGAAGAGGATTAAATTGATTATTGTTGTCGCGATTTTATATCTTAATAAATGCGCGACCTATAATATAATTGATTGTCTCTTTTTGTTTTCTTTTCAACATTTCGTCTTTTTGATAAAATAGCTATTTCAATATTATCCTAATATTATCCTTTCCTGAGCAAAAATTTAAAGTACATGAGAAAGGTATTTAAGAAAAAGAAATTTTTAAAGTGTTTTAGTGAAATAATTGTCTTTTATGACATTTGTATTTCAGTCTTTTTTTATGGAAAATTTCAAAATCATATTTTAATACAACATTAAAGATATTTTATATTTAAATATATATTGTAGGAAGGGGAAAATGTACGTATAAAATAAACAAATGCGAAAATTGAAATTTATCGAGAAAAAAACAGGAATATACTGGAGAATATATTTTATTGTATGTTTGTGTTTTATATTGGTATATTTATTAGAATTTTGCTGTAATAGTTAAAAATATTTTTCTCGAGAAAAGATCGGTTAGGTAATTTAAAGAGAAAAATGACATCAATATTTTTTGTGGAAGAAAGATAGCGTCTAGCGGATCGTTAAATATATATTTTAAATCAGAAGTATCAAACACTCGACGACACTTGAAAAATTTAAAAGCCTTAAGAAAAACTTGGTAATATATATCCTAAAAGTTTATAAACCTTTGAAACCACACACAAAGAACTTTCTCAAAGTTCTACGTCTTTGCTTCCTTCTTTTTAAAATAAAAATGATTTGAACTACGAAATGAAATATTAAGAGATACACTTATTTTATTATACATTTTATTTATAAGTAGCATTACTATGAATTTATATAAAATGAATAAATAAAATTGTAATAAATAAATTATCATTTAATAGAAAATATAGTAAATGGAATTAATTACAATTTTTTTTATTTCGAAAATTGAATGACTAAAATAATTTTATCGCGTCAGAGTGTTATTTTTTATCGATCGCGGGTTAAGGAATTTCATCAAGTTGAATAATTCTGTGGGAGCGTAAAATTGATATTAAAATTTAAAATAGCAAAAATGCATATGTATCATTTTTTTCAGTCTTGGCGAATTTGATAAATTTTGCAATTTGTAATAATACATTGTTCTCGATTTGCGTTTCAAACGAATGCGAAGTAGCGCGCTACTGTGCGATGCATATACGTCACGTGTGACTGTTTAAGCTCCAAGTTCACGCCGATGCCCTGAAATCGCTTCGCGATTGTCTCGACTGCTCCGTACTTTTCGCGTTGTTTTCGCCGGAAAAACATTAAAGACGAGTGCGCGTGTGATTGAGTATATAAGGCGAGCGTGTCGCAATTAATATGCGTTATTATAGCGTGCATTCGTTGCGGCCCGTGCTCGTGCTCGTGCTCGTGCTCGTGCTCGTGAACGCGAACGGCTAACGGCCAACGGATTTTCAAACGCGTCGCGCGGGTGTTTGTCGCTGGACCCAAGTTTTGCGTAGCGATCAAGGACTCGGCCAAGGATCCGTGCAGTATTCCTCTACTCACGTCAGTGACAACGCGAAAGAAGAAGCGCGCGTTATTAGTCGCGTTAGCGAGCACCAATTCATTCGTGCGTCAATTCGAGGTAATGCTGCGAAGAAATCGAAACTGTTGGACAAACAAGATGGCGACCGATTGTAATGCGCGGTGAGTTTATTTATTTGTCCGATACCATTGATACCGATTGTGTATTTTGGGCTGTAACATTATGCATGATTAGTGTTGCTCTCTTTGTCTCTCTTTTCCTCCCGTTTTTCCTCTCCATCCTCTCTCTCTCTCTCTCTCTCTCTCTCTCTCTCTCTCTCCTCCCCCTCCCTCCCTCCCTCCCTCCCTCCCTCTCTCTCCTATTTAATAGCATAGATTAGTAAAATATATTAATTTTGTTTTCTGTTATATATATTCTGAATAATAAATATATGTACATATAACTCGTGCCTTACATTTTCGCAAAAATGAATCTTACGACAAATTGACCAAGACATGCAGCTATTTATTAATTCGTAAATTGAAAAATCTACATTTTTTCGAAATTTATATCATCAAACGCGAATCAAAGCACGCGAGAAAATATATGCATCTCGTAAGAAAAAAAGTTTTCATTTTTCGCTTTCGACGCCATAATTCAATATGACTTTGGCGAGGAATTTAAGAGCCTTAATCGTGTCATTAATCAGATATTATTAACAAACGATCCCCGGTGTCGTCCTTCGAATTTCTTACAAAAGGTCGGGCGCGCGCGCGACTTCCTCGGATCCTTTTCTCGGCGCATCGAGGGAGGGAGAGAGGGATGTAATCGAACGACATATCGCGTGCCGTTCGAGGGTCGCTAACGTCTTGGCGAGATACATACCGTCGATCTGATCCCACGTGTGGCTGACAGTCCTCGTGATGGATAATGGGACCGAACCCTCGTCCTTCCGCGCTTTGCCGCGGGCGTGCAATATTTCACGCCTTATTTATTTTTTCAAGACGCGCATCTACGCCTGTTCACGTGTCACGCGGCTTTCTCAAATTTTTCCCTCCGGCATTTTATATCGATGTCGACGCGATACACGGATATATTGCTTTAGATATCGGTTTAATTTAACGGCCATTTTATCGTGTTATTTATTTAAAAGCTCAGCGAATTGCAATAATAATAAGATTGTACGATTTTAATAAACGTACATGGTGAAAATTTTACGGTACATTAAATTACGTGAAAAATATTCATTTCTTTTCGCAATATTTATCGTAAAGCTGTAAACGGAAAATAACGATGTTAAAATATTTATTGCTATAAAAATGGTAAATTTGTTTTATTTATTATTTGTTAACACAATTAAGCATCAAAATATTTGAATAATTATACATATACGATTGTCCTTTGTAAAATATAATATAATTGTCGAATAAAAAATTATTGAATAAAAATGTCGCGATTTCTCTTGTTAGGATATTCTACAATCATAAAAATTGTATAAGTTAGTCCGTGTAAAGATAAAAGTAAAAGATATGTAATAATAAAAGAAAAGTATGCGCGAGTAAAAATTAAGTAGAGATTTTCTTTTCGAGGAAAATAACTGAAAATTCAATCCATTTTAGAAACGTGTCGGCTAGAAAATACACCTTTCAGGAATATTAAAGATTGCTCCCAAGCGAAACATACAGGTAATATTATAATATATATGACCCGATTCTGTTTAATATAACGCGAGGAATTTGGAGTGAAATTCCGAAAGGGACTCGAAAGACGCGCTCCTTCAAAGTCGATATTTCGAATAGCGAGCGATTAAAGTGCGCGTCTCTCTCTCTCCGAACACTCGTCGCTGATAATTAATTTTGCGTAAATGCGATTTCCGGAAGCGGATTATTTTCCGCGCTTAACATTTGGTACTTGGCACGTATGTATGCGCGGGTCATTCGTAACGACATGTGCGGAAGAGCACATGTATTTGCACACTGGCATAAATAATGCAAGGAGGGAATCCTGAATTACGACTCGCCGGAGAGAACGTGCCTGTATTTCCGCAAACAACGCGGAAATTTCCGCGCCAAATGACAAGTGACTGGTCTAGGGGGAAATGATTCTCAATTTCGCTAAAATAGATCCTCGATTTATATCTAATAGCGCGATACAGTCCGACGCAAAAGCAACGGAATCTCTCTCAGACGTTGTTCTTCCTTAATTATTGCTAATTGGCGAAGGAAAGTTTTTCTCGTTCGATTCGCGTGTTACGCAGGAGGATAGTGGCATGCTTCGTAACAAGCGTAGAAAGTCCCGATCGTTTCTTCGCAGCAAAACAGGAAAATATTTTGAGTAAAATTTATCGGAGAAATATGCTAGTTTTTCAGATTAATAATCGAACTTGTTACAAAAGATTGATTAATAAACTTGCGAGTTTAACGTCGAGTGACTTGAAAAAACTGGCGATATTTATATTTATTAACGTTTCGTGATTACTCCAAGTTTTTATTGAAAGTCAAAGAGAGAACACCGCAGATAAAGATAAAAGTAACTGTACAGAAACAAGGGGAGATTCCGATTTTGTGATTCGTTTATCGCGCCACCGAGGCGATCGTGTTTCAATGTAATTCGAGTTACACGAGTCAATTCGTTGGCTATTTTTTCATTGCGCTTCCGAAAAATTCGAAAACCGCCAACGAGCGAACAAAAACGAGGAACAATGATTGCCATGACGAGGCGGATAAATGCCATACCAACGTTTTTATTTTATTTTATTTTATTTTATTTATCCTATTTTATTTTATTTCATTTCATTTCATTTCATTTTCCTATTCTCCCTTTCGTATATCCGTGCGGTTTGCAATTAAATTTAGTTTTTGTCGGATTAAATTTCAAAAGAATTCTCGCGCGGGACGCGCGTCGAAAAATTCTCCGAACATTTTTTTTCCGTCATGAATTAGCGAAACGATATATGCCATTGTATTACCGAGTCGATCTTTCCAACGACGATCGCTCGACATAATTGCGATTACTTGATGAATCGCGCGTAGTAAGCGTGGAAATAATGAAATACCGCGCAACCGTACGTGCGGTCTCCTCGATCGATTTGTTTACGGGAGAATTTGGCCAACTCGGTTTCCGTTAATCGAACGGCCTGTAAAATTAATTAGCGCCGTTAAGCGCGTCGAGAACTTGGGGGAGGGGAGAAATTCTCGATCTGCCCATTTTCGAGTCCATTATCGGCCAACGAGAGATCGATCGGTCGAGAGCCTCCCCGGTATTTTTTCATCCATACGCGGAATCGACCTTCATTCCGGCCTTTGCCACATTCCGTAGTACGAGAGTCCTCCTTTCGTCGCTGACCCCATAAATATCGGGCCGCATCGAAGCCATGCTCTTGGCGAGAAAACCCGCCGTGCGAGAGGCACTCTCGGATGATACGATCGAAACAGCGATTATCCGCGTTTTCGATATCGAGTTCAACTTTCGTACGCATACTCGACTACGGTGGAGTAAATTGCTTATTCGTAACGTCTCGTGCATAAAAACTGCGGACGAGTTTTTTAATTTAAAATGCTAAATGATTCAAATTGATAAAAATTCAATTCCATTTATAAAAATTATATATATATATATATATATATATATATATATATATACATGTAATTTTTATCGCGGGTATTTTGTGTTTAAAATTTGCGATATTGTATAATTCTGCGTTTATTAATATCCGATTACGTTTTACGTAATAACATTAAATATGGCTACGTACGTGTCGTAAATGCCGCGATAAAGCCGCGAGGCGTTAACTTTATATTAACATATATAGAGACGCGTATAGGACTTTTTAATTGAATTCCTCGCCTTCCCTTCCGCTTCTCTCGAGGAGGTCGCGGAGAAAAAGTTGAATTAAATGGTGCTGCGTTTTTTTCGATTAAAACTTTACAGAGTAATTTGTTGTTAATGTCGACTATAAATTTCGCGATACACGCGAGTTCTCTTTGGAGCCGCGAAAAATTTAAATTTTACAGCGCTTCTCGAGATGGGTATTTTAAAATTTATTTCGAGAGTTATTAACGTACATTTGTGAGAAATAATATAATTTGTATTATACATTTTTATAAATTATACAAACGCATAGAAAAATTGTTCTTGTCGCGTGACCGAATTTAGTCGAAGAAACGTGAGCTTTCATCCGCGAAATCTCTCTCGATCCACAATGTCCCACTTTAATAAATTAAAGTAATCTTAGCAATTTACGTAATCTCCCGTTTCCATATATCTCTTTCCGTATAATTTCTGAACACATTATAAAATTCCGTAGAGGAATAATGAATAAAATAACACTCTTTATATAATTATTCGCTTTGGATACAACATTCTTGCAAATTTTTTAGCACATATTTAGCTTCTCGTATGCATATATATTAATACAGTTTAACTAACAAATAATTTCTTTTCCAACTCAAGAACAAGACTAGTCATCAAAAGGGTTATTTCAATGTATTATGATATGTAATGGAGTAATATTTTTGAGAAACTGAAGTCACATATTTAGCGCGAAAAAACCCGTATTAAAAAGTAATTAGTTTTATTTTTGCGCATACCTTGCGTTAAACTATATTGTATTATTATACAGGGTGTCAGGGTAGAGGAATTGTTTCGAACAAAAAAAATGTAATTGTTAATTGCAAATTATATATTTTTTCTGTACACCAATTGATTGCTCTCATTATTTGATACATAAAAGTATTCGATATTAAGATAGTCGAAAAATGAATATTTTACTAGATATTTTGTGGTTTATGTAAAAGTTGAGAAATTATTTCAAGCCTCGCAACTCGAAAAGTACTCGACGAAAAAATACTTTATTTAATGTTTCGAAAAATTCTCGGGGTAGCTACAAGAGCTTTTTTTCGTAAAGAGATTGCCCCGACACCCTGAATAATTCATACATGTGGAAAACAAAATTGTCGATGTATAGCGTTAAAATTTTTTTCACCATGAAATTCTTCGCGCATATACCGTTACAGGTATTTAAAACGGGTTAAGACACACCGCGGTAGAGTACTACGACTCGATACCGTGCGCCAGTCGAACTGCGCAGCCGGCCGGCCGCTCCCCCCCCACTCCCGGGTGGCTTTCGAGTCTCACCATCGGTCTCACGTCAGTAGTTTCGCGCGCGTCGAGTCGAGCGTGT